GCCGCATCATCCTGGAGAGAATCAAACACGCCCTGGATGAAAAACTTCGACCGGAACAAGCTGGATTCAGGAGAAACAAGTCATGTATTGATCAAATCGCCACACTACGGATCATCATTGAACAAAGCCTGGAATGGCAGTCACCTCTCTATCTCAACTTCATCGACTTTGAAAAGGCCTTTGACAGCGTCGATCGAGAGGTGATTTGGAAACTACTTCGCTACTTCGGGGTGCCACCGACAATAATACATCTCATCCAACAGCTGTACGACAATGCTGCATGCCAAGTAATCCACAACGGGAAACTTACGGAACCCTTCGAAGTGAGGACAGGAGTAAGACAAGGCTGCCTACTATCGCCAATGATTTTCCTGATTGCAGTAGACTGGATAATGCGACAAACAGCGGGCAATCAGGAAACAGGCATAAGATGGACTCATACAAAAAACTTGGAGGATCTGGACTTCGCCGATGATATATGTCTGATTTCCCACAAACTGGAAGACATGCAAACGAAAAGCAACAAGTTAGCAGAAGAAGCATCAAAGATAGGACTTCAGGTGAACATAGAGAAAACGGAGGTGATGAAGATTCCTGGACAAGAACAACAACAACAGACAACAATCAACATAAATGGGAGGAACCTGAAAGAAACAACCTCTTTTACCTACCTGGGAAGCATCGTTTCAACTACAGGCGGAACTGACGAGGATATCAAAGCAGGAATCGGAAAAGCAAGACAAGCTTTCACTACTCTCAAGTCTGTGTGGAGGTCAACAACACTCAGCATCAAAAATAAGATCCGGATTTTCAACTCTAATGTGAAGTCAGTGCTACTATACGGATCAGAGACTTGCACTGCGCGTCATAAAGAGCATCTCAAACAAACTACAGACCTTCATTAACAGTTGTCTTCGCTCAATACTCAAGATCAGATGGCCGGCCAGAAAAGATCAGCAACAGAGATCTCTGGGAGCGAACCAACCAGGAACCGATTGTGAAACAAATATGCAGAAAGAAATGGAGATGGACTGGCCATACTCTGAGGAAACCATCAAGTGACATCACTAGACAAGCCCTTGAGTGGAACCCGAAAGGGAAGCGGCGAGTTGGTCGTCAGTGCAAGGGTGACTTGGAGGAGGTCATGTGAAGAGGAGATGAAAACGTGTGGGCAGACATGGAGCCAGGTGAAGACTCTAGCAGAGAACCGAACTCAATGGAGACGCACGGCTGAAGCCCTATGTTCATCTAGGAATTAAAGGATACAATAATAATAATAGTTGACGGATATTACTCAGTGTCGATATCTTCTCCACCTCCTTAACCGCTCTTGTGTTCAGTCATTACAAAGTCTTTTAGTCAGCCTACGTTGAAGCATACCGAAACTGGTCTGCTTGCATTGATCACTTCCGATGGGTTAACAGGTGGTCATCCACCAGAGTTTACTCAATCTATGTGAACATTGTCAGTCGTCTTCACCGTTGTTTCTCCGACGACTTGAGATTGTAACAGTCTTACTTAAGATGAGTGTGGCTGTCATGCTCAGAATAATGCCTAGCCAGCTTCTCATTCAATACAAACGTAATGTTTTCATCGGTGGGGAGGACACGTGACAGCTTTGCACTGGTTTGTTTCCTACCTTCCTTCTGACCTGGGCATACACCTGCGTCAACAGAACAATTCCTGATCAGAGTGCACACAAGTCTTTCAGGAGTCGTCATCCTCTACTCACTGCCCTGTTGGATGAGTCATATACAGACAACGACTTCATCCATCTCACGGGTTCTGAAAACACTGAAGTTATTTTTCGTTCCATGTGGTGGATGTTTTTTTGCGGGTGGTATTTTGGACGTGATATAGTGAGGTGTGATGCAGAATGTGATTACTGTCCGCTGTTTGTTTTTGGAGGGTGCTTCGCCAATGTATCATAGAATGTGGTATTAAAATTCGTGCGGGTAATCGATGGTAAAGTTTCAGAAAGCTAATAGAATAACTTTAAAAGAAGTTTTTTTTATGAAATGAATAAGCATTTTATTCCGATTTGTCATATTCTGGGAAAACTTCAGAAAATTGTTTGGCTTGCTTGAGTTTTTTTCTGATGTGAGGATCGATCCCTGACATTTCAGCGGTTAATTTTACAACTGTATTACATCGAAACGCTGTCATAAGGTCCAGTTTAACAGCACCTGCAATTTCCTTAATTGTATTGCCTTTGACGCCTAGAACGCTCAACTGGAAAAGAAAGTAAAACAATAATTCCTAAAAGCATGTTATTTTATTCGTGGAAGTGTCTTGAACCACAAGGAATGAGGTAATTTAATGATTTATAAAATGTTTTACTTAATAATTGATTTGAAAAAGACAGAACTAATAAAGAAATTACTGTGCATTTAAAACTACATAGTTACATACCTCAGATTATAAAACATAAGTAAATGAAATTTCTTTAGAAAACATCAGCCGACAGAATAATTGAGTACTATGGAGCAGTGGACATTCATGTGTCATACTACTACCACCATATCTATTTTATTATGTACGATAACTGATAACTGATGAGGAAAACTAATACCTTACAGATATTCAAAAAGTAAGAGCATAACAAACAGTTTAACAAGGATAATTAAAGGTGAACGGTTTTTGAGGACTGATTTCACATAGCAATAATGTCAAGTGTCTACAGTCAAAGACAGAAATTCTGAGAAAACCAGAGTGTTTAACTCATAAATAGAAAAGACAAACTATACTGAACAATTAATGCTTCATAACGAGTACTATATGTTCTGAACACACTAATAAATACTATAATTCCTGAAATCCAAAAAGACATCAATGAAAGCAAGACAGGTAGTTAGGTGACCAAATGGGATTTAGTAGAAAATATGCCAACGATGTCGAGCAGTTTGATAGCGAAAAAAAAATTGGAAAACGGAATTGAAGTGACCGGAAAATAATCGATCTGGATTGCTTCCCAAATGGTGGACTACGAACTGCTTAACTGTCATTGTATAATACTTCTTAATACTATAAGGGAGTACTTATCACATGAGTACTGTTTCTGTACTACTGATTAGACACAGAAGATGAAATAGTGAAGATAAGATCAATTATTCCAGTGAAGGTTAATATTAAACTAAAGAACAACTATTTATATATTTATTTTACAGAATCACGCTCAGAAAAATTGCTTCCCCATACTCTGATTAACACAAGACATAAGAAGCTGTGATCAACAAGATGTATTTTTATTTATCCCGGAAAAAATCAACTAGTAGAAGGACACAAGTGAATAGGAGACAAATGGATTTAGGGAAACAAATAACCAGGTGTTTTGTGTTTTCCATTGGGAAAACTAACATTTTAGCTATATGCACGATTCAGCCAAGCCTCATACTATCCCATTGTTTTATTTATTCAGAGTCTGTTGTATTGGTTTTCATTATTAATGATATCTTTACCCATTATCTCAGTCGAGCTACCTATCAATGGGATTTAATTATTGTCCAGCAATTCATTTCAAACATTTATCTTGAGCATTAATCGCCTTTGAAATCACTGATCAAATCTACCTACCCATCTTTTTTTAACACCTGTAACAGCATTTACTACAATATCAGTCTTTATACACACAAAGGAAATCTTGAAATTTGTGTACAGAGAAAAGTTATTAGACAGCAAAAGTTACACGAAAAGAAAAACAATTGCCTGTTCACGCCGTCAATAGTTCGAACACATTTCCAAGATGACATCCTTCTACTTTAACTTTGGATTCGAATTATTACAATCAATCCTAGGATAGGCGTTCCTTTCATAAAGTTTGGTAGTTTTTGAAAAAAAACTTAACTTTCATACCATCATGCATCACGGTTCTACCATCTTTTACCAATGCAACTCTAAGTTCAAGCCAGAGATTCAAAATTCAATCATCTATCTAAATTCAAGCAACCGAATAGTGTCTAGCTAAAGCAAATGCACACAGATCACTGTGGTGTGAGAGCTGGCTGCTAGCCAAAGTTGGTAGACAGTAATTGACGTCAATGTTTATGTCCCCAATATTGGTGGTGAGAAAATGAGAACAAAGGCTTTGCGTAGGCGGATACAGTTAGCATATGGATGATCTGACACAGCCACAAAGAGATGCAAGGTTAACTTTCTGTGAGAAACAACCAATCAAAAGACTGTATTTTCTACTAACAATAATCTACAATAATGTACATTAAAATCTATAAATATGTGTTGATTTTCCTTAATAAACGATCTGTTGCCTGGCCCTTGTCCTCTGTTTTTACACTGTTCGCAAAATATAGATTGGGCATATTTGTTTTACAAATCAAGTAATACTATGTCATTGAAAGGTGTACAACCACATTACACGCCTAAATGTAGTGCTTTTAATAATTACTGTCGAAAAGTGTTGAACTTCTGCTGCTTGTAACTCTCTGGAAACCTTACCAAAAATAGATGAATTAAATACACAGTAAGGACTTTCATGCTACATTTTGCAAGTGAGAATATATAAGAATTCGAGTCACCCTATGATTTAAACACCTATGCATAAATATGTATAAATGTCGAAATGTATACGACGGCACAAATTTTCAATGGTATTTCGTTTGTATTTTCATGATCGGTAAAAAAATAAACGAGATTAATTAAGAATTTGAAACATATTTCAATCTCACATGATATTAAATCATGAAGAAAGTAATTGTTACTTACTAGCTGACGCTCATTTCGACATTGTATACGTACATGCACATAGACACGATCATCACCACTATCTTGTTTGATTTTGTCACAGTCATCTACAACGATATGTAGAGAATAAGGAATTTCTTGTCGTAATTTATCGAGACAATGTGACCATACACACATACGTATAAGTTCAGTTGGCTCTTGATCAGTGACCATAGTTGGTGGCAGAATCCATGATCGATTAGGCACCGCTTTGGATAGAAGGAAATCCTAGTGTGATAAAACGAAGATTTTCTTTATTTAGCCTGGATAATGAAGAATATCAACAATTACCTAGATATTCGAACAAATAAGGTATATCAATTATCCTATAGTTCTTCGAACTTTGACAAAGGAAAACCAGATAATCAAGTCTGTTATTCAAAGCACAGTCAAGAAACACTAAAAACCGATTATCGATTTGGTAGGTTATATTTGTAAGACTACTCGTCAGAAAATCACACTCCTCATGTACTTTCAAGTGGAAGAAAACAATTAGGATGTTAGCGAAATCTGCCTCCCAATCACACCCCAAAACACTCGTCTATTCACAAAAACAATATTCAATCTTCCCAATAGATTTTAAACAGCTGATAATTATCTTATTTCAATAGAAGCATCAAACTAAGCAAAGATCAAGAATAAGACAGACAATTACATGATGGAAATGTATCAGTCAAAAGCATCTTTACACGTACGACTACAATTAACGTGCATAAACAACTATCCAGATGAAAAGCTTGTAAATAATCCGGATGCCTAACACACTTCAAAAATATGCCCACAAGTAATTTACAACAATACAGCGGATAGTTATCATTGAAATTTATCCTTTGTACTTTAAGACCCAAAACAGTTAGTCTCTCTGAAAATAACAATTCTGTTTCCAAATAGTGGTATTCTTTGGCAAGATGTTGTTAACAACGGTCGAAATTTGGACAACATCAAACTAATGTAGAGAAAATAATGCCCTAAAGTTAGGAAGTATATGCACACAAATAGAATTCTGACAGATGAGATTACACTGCCAATGCTAACAAAACTTTTGTACCAAGGAGATGATGACCGGTTTCAGTAAATGTTACTGTATAGCTCCGTGAGACTTTATCAAAATAAAATTTTCTCCATAATGGAATTATACTATACCACAGCGCCCAAGTTTTATACTTATATCAATGAATAAGTATCATATGCGATCTGATTATTACACCTAACTACACAGATAATTATTTTGATTCAGTGACATACGAGTATTTTTGGCACTGGAATGCTATTTGAGGTGGGTTTTTGTGTTGCATAAAAGCTATAAACAGGAATGTGATGCTACAATTACAACTTCCTAATTAGAACTTTTCACCTATTAATATTTTCATCAGGCTTAAATTTACCCAGGGAAATTAATGAAGACTTCCTGGATATTGCGGTACGATGCCATACACCACTGGAGCAGAAAAGACGTTATAATCTACTGACAAATAAACAACAATACTTAACATGTACGAATATTGCTATAGTTCAGTTGAACCATTTACTGTTGCATGCACTGGATGTTGATTACAATAAAATAAGTAATCTGTAAAATGACTCAGCGGTGTCAATGCATACATTAACTCATAGTTACACTATCGGGTGAGGTAGATTGAAAGTTCTAAAGTCAAATAGAGTAAAATGGAGACCGATTACTGAATCTTTTTTCTCGAATCAATATCAAATGCATGCAGCGACCAGAATGATTCAAAGTCAATTGCATATATTCGGAAAATTCTGCTGCTAATAAAAACGAAGGAACACGGCACTCGATAAATATGAAAGTTTTATGACTACCTTTATTTGATTATGAGCAGTAAATTGTGCTCGAAACATCATCTAGTAAACAATACTAAATAAACCAACCATCAGGGAAAGTTAAAGAGGAGTGACACAACTGAACAGCTCTATTTAAACCCATTGGTCGTCAAAGACACTAGGGATAGGTGATTGTATAACCCCAATTTACCTCAAGTGATTTTAAACAAGGATTCAAAACGTCGGTAATTTTCTCACTAACAATCAACTCTATTCAATGAATCGAAAGCAGTCCTAATATTAAAAAATACGACTGTTGGCTACGATATAATGGTGCCCTTCAACTTCGGAAAGGTGAACACATAACCAATGCATGCACGATCTGCATGAAAGTCTGCCTGCACTTCACTAATTAGTTTTGCGAAGCCTGAAAAGTAAAACTGGTAACGGACTAATACTCTGATGACTGTTACAATGACTGTTAAATTAGGCCTTTTAAAAACAAAAAAGTAATCACAATAATGGCCTCATTCCATAGCTACGGTACACTTCCAATTTACATACCATCTCACACAATTAGAACAGTTCTTTAGCTTGAACCAGGAACTATCGTCGAATACAACTATATATCATACTTAACTGTAACACTAGGTTATGACAGCAAACTAAACACTGTTAGTGAAGATCCACTTAATTACGACAGTCCCTGCTTTAGTACTAAATGAGACACCAACTAGAGTGGACGCCGATACCACAAGGTTCCTGCATAAGCACATACGTGACGTACTTTTCGAGCAGAAAAATGGTGAATTTATCCAAAGCATTGCACCAAGAGCTTCTTTAGATATCTCTGAAACCTAACTTGTATCAATCTGTACGTACCAGCGTTAGGTATCGTACTGAAAAACAAATTCATGTAAGTAACTACTTAGCAACTCAAAACGGTAAAGACAGAGAAGTACAGAGACGATAGAAGCAATACAAAACAGTTCATATATGAAAGTAACAAAAAAATGTGATGACGTTTCATCCACGATGTGGTGTAGTCGAGTAGTTGTAAAAGTGTGTAATCGAATAGGAATTTTCACTGAACTATGCTACAGATTTTGTTAGAGGGATGTGTTGCGATGTGGAAACTCTAATTCAGAGAGATGATTATTTTAGTCTACTAATTAAGGATCCTTTAACTTAGTCTTAACAACAAAGTAGTAGAGCAAATTCAATTGCTGCATTCTCAGGTTGTGAATGTGCACGACTGTTTACGAGTTGTCATTATTATATGAATCATCTGTGTCCCCTAATTGATCCAGTTGCTTGGTTCATAATGTTTAGAACCAGTGGCAATGTATTCTCTTCATCTTGATATTTAATATTTTATACATTTTGTACTACTTAGTCATCATAAATTACTTTTCTTTGTGCCCCTGAGGATGAAAGCGTCAACACATGACAGCGTGCTAAGGGGCCAAGAATCCAGTCACCCTCGGAAACCAATATCTGAAAGTCATGTGTCTAAACTAGTGAATCCAGGGTTTTTTTCAACAGAGATACTTAGCACAAATCTATCCTAAGGCTGCAACTGTGGAAAGTGTTTGAATCGGAATAAGTTATCATTCCTGAAATGGTTGGAAAATTTCAAGGAATAAAATCGGTGTTGTTGACATTTGTTTTATTAGCATGAAAATAACCTTTATACAAAATACACTAATTCAGAATAAAACCCATTTAATATATGTGAAAAAGTCGGTAGGTTACCCTCAGTTTATCTATCCCGTCACCCATAAATGAAGATACCATAAAAACTTCGCTAAATCCTGACCATTGAGTAATACCTTTGGTCGCTCTTGTTATTTCCAACCATCGTTTTCGACGATTTGCTACCTCTTCAGGTGATGCTACTTGAAGCAACAGTTGCTGCTTTAATGTTTCTAACATTGAATCTACACATGTCGTATCACTCTCTGCATCTAGGACATCATTATTGTCACTTTTAAACAAAGTTGGAAGCGTCTGGATTTCATTCTGAAACTGTTGATTCTCATTTTCGTACGGTTGATAATCACTGAAAAATGCATCAATATTCTCTTTATCCACTTCTGTTAATAGACGGTCTTTCATGAAATCTGAAAGCGACGGGAACGAAACACAATGATAATTATGTGGAGCATTGTGGAAAAGCTTTTTTAAAAAAAGAAATAGATATCTGTGTAGAATGATCATATAGCTAAAAAAAATATATGCTATCTCGCTCAAATTAGATATTAAGCTGTAACTGAGGGTGCTTGCTCAATCAGTGCTAGTTGGGGAAGCGAACGTTTTCACTGTGTAAAATGATAAAACCCTGCAATACACTACATCTTATCTGATCCACCTGTGGGTAATTCAAAGGAAGCTTTAGCCGTGTATTTTAATCAGGAAATCTATATGCTATCAGAAATGTAAATTCTGCTGGAGACATTAGTGTTTGTTTATTCAAACAGATAATAGGTAAAACCAAATAAAACAAGCAAATTAAACGTCCACAAACAGCTACAATTTTCAAATTTGAAGTCCTATAGTCGAGTTGGGAAAAGACACTGATAAAGTGAATGCTTACTGACTACTTAGCATGAATGCCCAACCGGTTAAATACACACTTTTACCTACTTTAGTTAATCAAAATAAAAACCTATGACCACACTAATTACTTCATTTGCCTGAAGGATTGTACACTCCTTCTAAAAAATACCTTAGTAACTCTTGTATAAAAGTAAGTTGGAAGGAACAACATGCACGTGATCTCCATCACCCTTGTTTAGTGAAACTATGTAGTTGACTAAATGAAATTGCAACATATCGTTCTGGAAAGGGGAAGTGAATTGACTGATGAGATTCTGAGTGTGGATAAAATGAAATACTTAAAAATGAGGTATTATTCGTGACATGTTTATTTGGTTTCAGATACAATTAAGATAGATTTAGTATCAAGAAAGCTTGTACAACTAAAGACAATTGGCATGATTAGTGTGACAAAATATATTCTATTACAATGGCAACCCTCAGAAATTGAACTGATTGTTAATATAGACTGATTTATAAACAATTTTAAAGGGCTTACATTTCATGTTTTCTTCAATAAAAGTTAGTATATATTAACTGTGTATTCACTCAACCTAATTCATTGTTTGTTTATTCTAATAAGTTTAAGCTCCAGTGAGCCACGATCAGTTAATCAAGTAACCACATGACAACTAAGTGTAAATGATGGTATTAATTCTGATTGTACAGTTCATAAAAAGTAATCACGTCTTTTAGTTGACCAATTGTTGGGAATTTTGAAGTCAATGAGATTGATAACCGTCTGACACGGTATAAATGACATACCATTTCGACAAGGAATCACAGTGAATTTCTTTACAAGTTACCAGTTGAAAATTGAAGCTATTTTTAAACTAGCAAAATGAGGAAGCTGACCAAGTTGGTAAATATAAATCTATTCTAAGCTAAACAATAAAATCAACTCTTTAAATCTTTTGGCTGTCATTTAAACCTTGTGAAAGAGTATAGGTAGGCTAACAGTCTTCGACAAAGTTATTTGACTAGATTACTTACCACCAGACTTTGGTTGGGATATTTCTTGTTTTACATCTTCTAGAAGCGGTTTGGAGTCTGATTTGATTAACTCAACTTGTGGTGTTTCGATCTGAGCACGTAAATTATTGATGTACTGAAGGAATTTGTTAGCTGTTTCGTGGCATATTGGAGGTAATCTAGATGCAATAATTTCGTTCGGTGGAATAAGATGATGTGCTTTGTCTTCTAATTCTGCTCGACGCTTAAATCTGGCAGCATACTTATCCACATGTGAACGGCGACCATGCACAACGCCCCCAGTTAGTTTTCTTGTAACATCTAACAGCCTTGTTGGATTTGTATACAATTTATCAATCTACATAACAGTAAGGTGCAGACAAGAATGACACAGTTACATTGAAAATAATCACATAAGCACATATTAACGTAAGTTGCCATTCATAACAATTAGGAAATAATTCACCTACTTTATTCAACACAAGAATGGATTCTTTATCGTTGAAAAAGTGTAACGCTTTTACAACTTCTTCATGCAGTGCTTCACGGGATTCTTTGTGACTTGCGTCGACAACCACAAGAACTAGATGATAAATAAACAAAACGAGGAGATACACCTTGGTCACTACTTGTTTAAAATAAACATAGGTAAGCTTTGAAAAACAGTTATCATCGGTTATTAAGCTTAACGGGTTTTAAACGCATGGCATTAAAAGATGAACAAAATACTAAATGTATTTAAATCATCTACCAGCATAAATTAACTATTTCTTCGTATTTGTATGCAGGGCTTTATCCCTGAGATTATATAATGCCACTGGCAAAAGTAGGAACACTTCAACACACCTTGACCAAGAGATACTTTAAGTGACAACGAAATTGTTTGCACAGGCTTCTGTAACTCTTCTTAGTGCAACTATTGTTTCTTATGTTTCAGAAGAAACTTGTTCTACTTGTCCACTAGCCATATTTATGTACGGATATATTCGACAGCGCCAGCATAAAAACGGTGCAGAGAGATGTGATATCGACATCAAGTGTGCATGAATCTTATGAGGCGTATAAGTAAATTCCTTAATCATAGACTGAACAATCTGACTAAAAATTACAATGTGACTTTAAGGGAATTGGTTAGGATAAAATACATGTGAAATTCCCAACCCTCATTTTTTCAGCTGATATTTCATATGATTCTGTACGAATCGATTTCTGTCAGTAGGATATTATCCTTAGTTCATATATCTTATTCTTGTGTCCTCATCACTTTTAAGGGGAATTGGACTATGAAATACTTCGACCCAATTGGCTTTGAGTGCAACAAAGTTATTATAGCGCTACCTACTCAGAATCTCAAGCTATACCTACAAGACTAAACAAGAATAATATGCAACAAAGCAAGAAGAAAAATTGCATGAAAAATATTATTACTCATATTTTCATTGTACTGTCATCCAGTGTTTACACTTCCTTACAGAATACTTTTCTACAATATATCATATAAACAAATGTACAGCTTGACAATAAATTCATTTATGAGTTGCTTGGTTGAATACCTCGTTCCTAATGTCACTATGACAATGATAACAGTCTGGTGTTTATGAAGATTAGCTAGTAAACGTTTCATTGCCAAGCTAGATTGCTTCGAACGAAGTTACTTTACGAGCAAGTCTTTATAATCAAATATTAAAAGTAACAAAAACACGAAACTATTATCAAGGATACTCTCTTCCAGCATATAACCAACTAGATTGACTACAATGCCCGTGGATACATGTGAACAAATAAGTTCACTGATGACAAAGTATATCTTATATATATGTATATATATATATATATATATATATATATATATCTTAAGTACTAACTGCAAAAGCTGATCAATTGTAAACCAATTAATAAAACACGATGGTTTAAAAAACTTAAAAAACTTTCTGCATATGCTCTGGGGGTGTATTCATTATCATTTAGTACTGACCGAGATGTTGGGGCTCAGAAGATTTGGCACTAGATTTCAAATCAGGTCGTTAATTTGAATCCTTTCCACCTAAAGAGATCTGGGAACCTAATTAGTATCATGAGTTTCCACACTATGAGTGTGGCCTATTGTCAGATGCAATAAAATACACACCGTTGATGAGTTACCACCATACGCACCAGAGGTCAACTACGCTGTATGATGAACATTCTGAATTAAAATTTAGCTATGACACATCATGACCACCAAGATGAGAATGATAGTAAAGAGAACAAAACTGGTAAAGAGAGATCCAATGTTTATTGGGATAAAACAATGTGAAAAAGGAAGTGATAAACCTTGCATTAACTTGACTATTGGCAAATAATAAGGATTCTGTTTTATGCATGTTTCAGTCTTCGCTATCTATCGCTTATTAGGTTCTTCTCAAAACTCCAAACCTCTTCTCAACCGCTTTTCCACTGACATATACACTATCGTTACTTCTACGAAGAAGCTACACTGTTTACTACTTACAACTGTTCATTAGTAGCATACCAGAATAATTGTTAGACAAAGACGTGCCACTAATGAACCGCGTCTCTAAATGCGGGCCTGAGCCGTGAATTCGATTTTAGCATTTGGATACCTTACGTGATACATCTAAAGACCTATGTTAGTGGTTTAGACAAGCTTATTTTTATGTACCACATGATACATGATACCCAGTCACTTCCATTTTTTTCCTTTTTCTTTCTTACTTTTTCCCGCTTATTATGAGAAAATCTGACGTGATTTTTTCCTGTTAATGAAAAGTACAGCATTCTTCGTGAGATTCAAGGGAGTTGTTTTCTTAGTTTGCGGATATTTTTAGGAATATTTTTCGATTATATTATGCAAAACTATTAACGATGAAAAAACTAACTTACTCAAGTCAGAATCGAAAACAGCCGAATGTGGATCTCGAATAAAAGTTTTTTCCAATTTAAACCTGAAGCAGCAAGTAAGTCAAATATTCCTAAGATTACATACAAGAGCAATAACTCACCTGGAAACTTTTGATCTATTTACAAGTCCAGGTAAATCAACAAAGGCCTAAATAGTGATATAGAAAGGAAATATTCAAAAAGTTTTTTCAAGTGGATTAGTACTGAAATGTATAAAAATGCCAAAATCCAGATTACCAAATCTTTAAAAACAATACTTAGGTCTTCATTTTTTACAGATGATATCATCGGAACACAACGTTGATAGTGTTTAACCAAACTTAAATAATTGTTTATTATTAGTTGTATTTCAAAAGCTACGACTCGTCGCCTCAGGAACACAATAGTTATGCATTTTTACAATAGAAACTGTTGATAGAATGTTACCTGAATGAGCAACTACAACTTCCAATACTAGTACAAGAGTTACGGCAGATAGTTACATCTTTTAATCATTTACATCTTAGAAACTGAAGTGCAGTCCACACCAAAATTTCATTAACTGGAATTTTAGTACGCAAATCAGTACTTTTTACTTCAACCCAATCATTTCGGGCGATAACTAGATCAACTAATTCAATCCCAAACACTGAGTATTGCTTCCCCTGGAATGTCAAAATGACAAAAATTGTTTTGCTTGTTTTTTATCACAGCTGCATACTCATCCATAGAAAACATGAATTCGATCGAATAGCTAAAACGGCCTGTGTCGTGTTACTGCACACCGCATGTATTTAGAACACATCTTGACAACATAAAATTTCTTGCAGAATTAAAACTGACACAAAGCTCCGTATTCGCTCGATTACTAGTCTTTTAATCGTTTTCACTTTAATTATTGATTTCTGGTCATAAATAAAGAGAATACAGACAAACTAAGTTGAGTGACTGATCACCCTATTTATTGCTCTCTTCCCTTGTTTAGTAAACAGAATTTTCTGCTGGGATTAAAAAAATAGGTCTCATACAACTAATTTAATTTACACAACCAGACTAAACAAGCTTAAACAGATGTTTTGTAAAGTCAAATCATAGTTATTAAGTCAAAATCTGTCTCCTAAAAGAAGATTGATAAATTGTGACCATTAATTTTCTCTTCATTTACGATTTTCCTTGTTGACACGCACTCTTAATTAGTGGTAAGATTAACTCTCTCTGTGCTTCCAATGATAATAAACATACATACAAATTTCCTACCGTAGACTTTATACACATGTATACTTACCAACTGGATATTGTCTTGGAAAAATGTTACTGTTTGTTTAGACCGTGTTGTATGTGCTTTTCCGGATACCGCGCAAACTTTCCACTTTGTAAGCATATTAACTAGGCTTGATTTTCCGCTATTCGGACAACCTATAACAGCAATTTTTAAGACCCGCGCATTTTGTGGAGAATCTGATTGAAGCAGCAATTTTTCCAAATATTCTTCTGTAATAGCAATCATAAGAAGAAATATCAAGGTGAATAAAATACAAAAAATCACAAACACATGTGACTAGTTGGCAAAAATAAGGTCTGCAGCATATTATATAAAGGAAATACAGTCATTAAGACCACAGAGCTTAATAGACATTCATTTGTGATGCGTTCTACTCTATGACACGGTCAATGAATGTGAAAGATTTGCAAGGATTAACCGTCGTCAACTATGGATGTCTCCGTTTAGTCTCACATGTTAGGTGGTTTAATTTGGTTAGTAACTATGGTTAGGCGGAGTGATGAGAATCGAAGGAAATTCAGCTGATCAACTTGTGTAGCTCCGTCAATTTAGATGGCTCAAACTTATGCTACTCATGCCGAGTCACTAACCTTAACGACCAATGTTAGCTATAATAAAACTAAATTGGTGTATAATTAGAATGGTCGGTTAACAGCACCGTGACAACCCAAGTAGTCATTAACTGTTGACTTTAGCCACAGATTGCCTGTTTTAGAGTCCTACGGATGCCAAGAAATAGTGCTGAATAGTGTTGGTGACATGTCTAAAAATTCTTCACAATAACGTAGATAAATTACTAATTTTTACCTCACTATTTTCAGTATCCATTGTTTTTAACAGCCTTATTCTAATTTTGTGTAGATTTTCGAGCAGCAAACTACAACTTTCTCAGATTTTATAACTTGTGCAATAACCACAATATACTGATACTGAGTACTGAGACAAATGAACAGGTCCATATCTAAAAGTACACCAAACGAAAGTAAGCTCGTGGGTTTAATGTCCAGATGTCAAAAAAGATGTGTCTGCAAGCTCGCCAGAATCCACAAAAGTCAATATGTTTCGAAAATTTCACGGATACTATTCATACAGTATTCAATAAAATTGACTATATTAAAAAGTGGGTGACGAGATAAAGCTTGAACATAGATAACCTAAATGTCAAACGAGATTGCTAACAACGTGTAGACGGACGTAAATATAAGATTTATGATTTTAATGAATTCACATTAAGTATTGTATTCAGTTTTGGGACCCATAACTCATCCTTATAATATCGGTCATTGCAATATTTAAGCGTTTACTTTAAGCGTATAAAACCGTGAGACTGAATCCATTTAATACCTTTATCTCTTGGTTAGATCTATCAGTTCAATTCCACCCGAAGTAACCCTACTGACGATAAAAACGTTTTTCGGTTGATTTACTTCCCCAATGTCTTCGTAGGAGAGTAACTCTATTTGCAGTCGGGCAATATTTAAAAACAGGTTAATAATTATTAACCAATCATCCTGATTTAATTATCGCATAATATCAAACCAATGCATGTTTATAGTAGTTACAAATAAATTTCCACTTATTTTACTTTGCAAGCGATAATCTAATGTACATTTGCGCAAGATTCCATGTTGTTTTAAATATACATTTCACTGAAACACCTGTTTTTATTTGAGCTTATTTTTAATTTTTAACAGTTATGTGCATAGATTTGTAAATGATTTACCGGAACGGTTAGATTAACACTATAATTTGGACTACATTCAAGCCATTTACTTCAAGAGGTATTCAAGACGTCTCTTACAATAACCTCTGAAAGTATTGTTCTAGAAAGCCAGTTCACCTGAATGAATTTTTTGACCACCCACCCACGCGCAACCTATATTTACCATGTTCATAATACCACACATACAGATAAATAACTGCAGTTAAAAAAGAACAATGTACACAGACTGAGAGATACATCTGTGCAAAACCGTACTCCAGACAAATTGTGACGCTAACCCATCAAAAACAGAAGACTACGACGATAATAAATGTGTTTAAACACAAAATGATATAACATACTGCTTTAAATCCTAAAAGCATGTTGATTCACTGATCCCCGAATAGTAATTTCCTTAAGGAAAGAGATCGGACTGTTATTTTTTGCATAAATTCATTGGTTTCGCATCGTCTAATTCCTATGGAGTAGCACAAGCACATCACGTTATTCATGGAATGGCTTAAGATCACTTTTGTGCATCTTAAGTACATCCATACAAGAACTGTTACGAAACACCGAAATAAATTCAAAAAATGGTAGTAGTGATATAAAACAAGTACAATGAAATTTTTAAAAATAAAAACTCAACACAGTTAACACGTACTCTTAGTATGTGGGACTGATTGTAAATTCGGTTTGTTGATGTCATTCTGTACCATCAAACGCGAACACATTCCCCTGGTCCATAATTTTGTTGGCTCATTGAAGTGCTGTGCAACCCTGATATTTACAAAACTACACACTCTAGTGAAGGACATATTTTAGAACTGCTGTACAATGCGTCAAGGTCGATCCAATGTACAAATTTATCGTTCAAACATAATATTGAGTAAAATACTATTATAACGCCTTCTCTTCAGTGAACAGTTGGATCCTCAATATTCTATATTAGGTATGCCCCCAGCTATCACATTCAGGGATAAAAGGCTTGGAGTGAAAAGTATTGGATGACCCTAGATTTTTCAGTTGCATGGTGATCAGTGATTAGAACAGGCCTGAAATGGATTTCTTTGCAACAGGAAAAGCAGTAGACACACAGATAATGAAAACAAAACTCAAGCTGTGCAGATAACGTTTATTCCACAAGAATTAGTTTTAAAAATGCGGAGATCCACTCTTAGAGTCTAACAGTCTTTCTTGTCCTCGCTAAGGTTTAGATCCTGCAATCGTTGTATTTCTCGATCCGGATAATTGACTCACGAGTATCTTCCTGAAAGTAGAAAAATGAAACATTGACTAGTGTTTATTATATAGGTTTTATAATACTGATAATAATTTCTATTTCACATAAACGGGTAAGTTTACAAGAAATGCATGCCATATTTACAGGCACTATCAGTGATGTTATAAATTACAATCCTGAAGCATCATAATTAACACTTTTCCAAAAGTTTAGATTGTTCGACAATAGTACAAGCGATCGTAACAGGTTCGTATAAATGTTAAATTGCAAACCCTACACTAAGGTCACCATCAAAGTTAAGTGACAACACAAACTTCGTTCCAATTCCTGCCAATAGTTGTGGTCAACCAGCATATTTAAGTAAGAGCTATGTCGCCACATTATTAAAAGCTACTTCAGGAGGAGGAGAACTTGGTAAACTGAAAATTCGAAGAGAATACAATTATGTATAATTCACCATTGGAAGTACATTTACAAGATTTATACAAGAAGCAGCTGTATTCTCCTTGCAGTAATAGTATACATTTGCAATGTTTAATGCTAACCACACTGATATAAACATGGAAACTATGACATTTTCGATGAAAATATAGCTTTGTCCAAACGTTGGTGTTGTCGTTGTGTTCTCAATCAAATCAACCAAACTTTAAGGAAGCAACAGATTTGAACAAAGGGCAAGTTTTAGCTTCAATAAAGGCCTAGGTAGTTAAGATCAAATACAGTATAATGGTGTATAAACAAAAATATTATGGTGAGGCAGATAAGTGATATTTCAGTGAGAAGCGAATTCAAAGATCTGAAAGATTAGAACTCTAGGGACAAGCTGACCCGTAAGATGTTTCACGAATTGTTGTAAGGCCCATGGGGTACCATCTTGACAAGATGCTGAACAGGTAAGCTATACTGCCGTTAGTACAGGCGATTGTTTAGATCCAAATTTATCCAGCAATATTCTTGGCACCTCTCGAAAACTTACACTGAATAACGTCTGACTGAAAAAGCCCCTTTATGAGTACGTTAGTTCCTAGAATTACTGGTTCTCCCTTAGGAAGAAACCGAACGTCGCAGTGGCAAACCCCCCGCCATTAAAAAATACCCAGCAGATCTACGGAATGGAAATAGTACGTTCAATCTACACAATCATAGCAGCAGACTAGATGAGGTGTAAACAGAATACTAAGAGTCCCAATAATGCATCCTAATTATTCAATGGAACACCTTTTCTTTGACCTTAGTTTGTCTTGCAAGGCATATGACCTCACTCTAAACAAGAATCTAGACGCAAAAACGAGAGACATGAAGAAATTCTCCAAGGCAGGCTTCATGCTACACAAACAGATATGTAGACAACTGCACCCACCAAACACCCTTAAGGCTCGGCACAGTCTACGTGTGCCCTCCAAAGGATCCATGTTATTACAGCCTACCGACCCTTAAAAACAGATGCCAATAACTTGTTTGAACCACGAATTCTGCACTGTGTCATCAATACTGTTTTAAAGGAAGCCATCACTATTAACGCCAGACTGAGTAGCAGAGAAGCCACTTTGGTGAATTTTTTCCCATGAATGGTATGGTGAAGATTGGATGACATTTCTCCCAAGATAGTAAATTTATGGATATTCCTTGCTTCACTATGCTTGTCAAATAACACCAGATGCAAAGTACAGCCAGCAAAAGTCTTGAGTTTTGAAATGACGGTGGAAAACTTAACATATTCTGTTCCTTTTAATATGAATTACACCCACATTTTCGTCTCGACTTTTGTCTCAGTTACAGTCACCCTCAGGGTTAGGCATACTAGCAAAGTCAGAAATTTCACCCGAACAGGAGTGATACGCCGCCTTTTGAATATGCGTCTAATGCGATTAGTTTCTTAAGAAGACTTTGTAGACCGACCTCACTAAGCTACTTGGGTCGCTAGTTTTCTAGCCGATACCATGCTCGGGTAATGAGGGAGAGTCGGGTGTGGGGCTAGCGAACCCCCATAACAAAAGCAGTTAAACCACTATGAAAAATTAAACACCCAAGTAAAATATTAGAAATAGTTACAATCTATTTTTGGAACAGAAATTTTTGGCTAAGGACAGCTTAACGAAAGCTGAATCAAAGTAGGGTTGACAGATACAAACAGAGATGGACAACCTCCTGAATCGAGACATCAAAATCCCCATGAACCATAAGAATACCAAACTGGAAACAGATAATACAGGAAGAGAATTCATCATGGGTCGAGAGGCTATCGCTCGGCGAAATGAATGAAAACGGAGAATTATTCGCAAACTTCAGCGCTTCCAATGATTTGGTAGTCGGAGGCAGTGTGTATGAGCACAAGGATATACACAAGACAACATGGATTTCGCCTGACGGACACACCACAAACCAGAAAAACTTCATCACAATCTCAAGGAAGTGGAGACGCAGCCTGCTGGACACAAAGTCAAGAAGGGCAGCAGATGTGGGCTCAGACCATAATCTAGTTCAAAGAACTTTCAAGGTGAAGCTGAAATCCCTCAAAACAACTGGAGGCAGACCACAATTCAAGTTCAACATTCAGAAACTGAAGGAAAAGACTACGAAGGACGCCTTCACTACAGGTATCGGAGACACTACTTGGTGTCACTGAGGGAACCTGCATAGAAGAACATTGGAACCCCCTGAATGTGATGTTCAAGGAAAAGTGAACAACTGTTCTAGGAAGAAGGAAGAAATAAGACAAAAAATGACTTACAACGGACCCCTTCCTGGAAGCTAATAGAAGAGAGGAGGATGGTGAAAGAGAAGATGACTCAATGCAAAGGTGGGCAACAGAAAAAGAAGCTGAGTTCAATGTACACTGCACTGAATCAGGAAAGACGTGAAGAAGAGTGCTAGGAAAGACAAAGACAATTCTACGACACACTGGCTGGCAACTGAAGCAGAACACGCGGGCAGGCCTCAGGTAAAAGAGACCTCAGGATATTATATCAGATAACCAGGTCTCCACCTCGGAAGAGATCAACCCAGATGATGGAAGCAATAGAAGATGTTCAAAGGAACCTGATTACCAAGGAGGAGGAACGAATAAAACAATGGTCTGATCAATTCAAATGACTCTTGAATCGACTACCACCTGTCTCACTCTGCAAGAACTGGTGTGGAATAATGCTCTCGTTCACACCGAGTAAAACACTAAGTCGCATCATCCTGGAGAGAATAAAAGATGCACTGGATACAGAACTCCACCCCAACAACCAGAACAAGCTGGATTCAGGAAAGACAAATCATGTGCTGATCAAATTGCAACTCTTCACATCATCATCGAAGAAAGCATAGAATGGCAATCAAACGTGTTTCTTAACTTCATCGACTTCGAAAAGGCCCCCACCAGACAGCCTTGACCGAGAAGTAATTTGGAAACTGCTTCAACACTACGGAGTGCAGGTCCCCAAATCTTTATCAACCTCATTCAGAAGCTGGCTATATGACAATGCCTGACAGTGTCAGGTGATCCACTGCGGAAAACTCAGAGAAGCATTCGAAGTGAATACAGGAGAAAGACAAGTCAGACTGCCTGTTATCATCGATGATATTCCTAATTGTTGTGGACTGGATTATGCGTCAGACTATGTGGTGAGAGTGAGAAGACAGAAATACGCTGGACCACCGATGAGGAGAATCTAGAAATCTGGATTTCGCAGATGATGTATGTCCAATGTCACACAAACTCGAAGAATTACAGGGAAATACCAACGAACTGGCAGAGGAAGCAGTCGGCGAAGGCAGGACTGCATGTGAAGATGGAGAAGACGAAGGTGATGAGGATAACCAACGAACATCAGCAACAACGACCAGCACCGATCACCATAAACGGGAGAGATTTGACAGAAGTTATTTCCTGCTTTCGCTTATCTAGGAAGCATCGTTTCAACTGCAGGCGGGACGGATGAAGATGTCAAAGAAGAGAACACGAAGTTCAGCAAAGATATCTTTTCGGCGATTTCATTTTCAAAAGCTGTACAATTGCACTTAAATACATAATTGTACATGGAGACAATTCTTGTTTGATTCTACATAATTATGACGGCTAATAAAAGGTGATAATTATTTCCAACTAGATATGGTTTTATGAAGAATCAAACAAGAATTGTCTCCATGTAAAAATAATGTATTTAAATACGATTGTGCAGCTTTGGAAAATGAAATCGCCAAAAAGATATCTTTGCTGAACTTCGTGTTCTCTTCTTTCTAATGTCCATATGGGTGTTTTCCACGATCTGAAGAAGATGTCAAAGCCAGCCAGCCAGAATCGGAAAGGCAAGATACACATTTATCAACCTGAAACCAGTTTGGAGATCTTCTGCACTCAGTCAGTACAAAGACCAAGATTCGGACTTTCAACACAAGTGTCAATTCAGTTAGTGCTTCCATACGGGTCAGAAACTTGCACTGCGTGCCACGCAGAGGATTTCCAACACGCCACTGCAGACTTTATAAACAGTCGCCCTCTTCGCTGGCTCCATACTGGAGATCGAATGGCCAGTCAGAAGTAATTAGCAATAAGAAACTCTGTCTGGGAACAAACCAACAGGCGAGAGCCAATCGCTCAACAATATGTAGGAGAAAATG